AACAGACGATACTAAACTCAATTTATCCGCCTAAACGTCCGTAGCGTGGCGCTACGGACGGCGGGAAAGTAGTTCGGCTGCCCGATGACGTTTTACGTATTATAGGAGTTATTTTTACCGTTGTTTACGGATACTACCACAATTTTTATAGGAATCATAACTATAGGAAACGGTTTTATAGGGGGATCTACTGTATTTCAGAATTTATTCGTAGGATTCATTATTGTATGTCCTTAGTCTGTACCTTTATTATTATTTGAGCATTATTAATATAAAACAATAAAATTATCTGATATACAAAGTTTGATTTAGTGCTGCCATTTATTTGCTTCTGAAATTGGTGCTAAATTGAATGACTTCAAATAATAACTGCATATAGTAATGAGGTTTATACACAGTGGTACATTATAGCTTCAAGGGGCCCAGGCAAATTTGAATTAGGGGTCTATGTACAGTGCTGACTTAAGATTTTAAGGAAAGTATATTCTTATGATTGGTTTAGGACTCCCTGGCAATTGCCCTTTTTGCCTATAGGATAAAGCAACCACCAAGTCATATGACTTGGTGTCATACATTTAGTAGTTCATAGTTATGGTAGGATTCCTAATTGAATATTTGAGAGAAAATCTGTTCACAGGTTGCTATTATTTAGGAGGGCAGTATACTGAGGGTTGGCTGTATGTAATGAAATAATCTTGAATTTTTTTGTATAAATGGCTCTCTTGCAACTATTTTAAAAGTCTTGCTGTTTAAATTCTAATATTTTTAATTAACAAATTCTAATGACTCAAATTAATTTCATAAATTGATAAACTATCATATTGATTATTAAAGATCAGTTATTTTCTGTTTATGGATATTTTAATGACTAATGCTGAAGTGTTTGAATATTTTGGTTAAAAAGTAGTGCTTATACTTACAAACTCTTGATTAATAAAATTTCTTATCATTTTTTAACACACAAACATGCAAATTTCTTTAGAATGAAATATAATTCATAGAAAATGTTAAGTTCAATTGTAATTTTTTTGTTTATAAATAAAATTAAGTCTAATGTAAGTAAAAACTGTTATACAACTCACTTTTAATTCTCTGATTAGAACTTAAACTATTTACTAACCATAATCTCAAAATATTAACTACTATTAAATAGTACTAATGTTTATTATTATACAATTTCTAAATAGATGAAATTTATTTTACATGTACAGTACAACAAACATATTTGTTAATTACTAATCATGTTAATCATATATTTTTAGAAAAAAAATATATTTCTTTTAATAAATATATGATTCTTTTAATTTATATAACAATAAAATTAAGTTTTACAGTGTAAAAAAAAATTTAATATGATTAACATTGGTTTGACCGTACATTTTTAAGAGAATTTCAAAAATTCTTATATTCAGAAAAAATATATATTACTAATTTTAATCATAGATCTGATTTCTGGAATTAAAACATTCACAGGTTTGTCAAAATATTAAGAAATAAAGTAGAAATAGATTTTGTTATTCAAATTCACATTGAAAATAAAATAAATAAAAGTTTTAATGAAAACGTTATTTAACATATTTTTGCATATTTTGCTAATGTGACTTGTGCTTAATTTCATAAAAATTTAGTTATATTAAAAGAAAAAACATACTAATTATAATAAAATTGATTTTAAAATTCAACATTTGGGCTATTTTTTTCTTTGGACATACAAAATACCACACTTATTCGGATACACATCACCAAGAATCAAAACTTTGAGTCAGAAGTTAATCAATAAGCATTCATGTAATAAAATAAATTAGCCAATTACCATTCACTTCATTAACTCTTGATCTCTAGTTGCAAATACTGCCAGAAGAGATTGCAAATACAATTCCCAGAGTGAATAATAATCATGGATACTATCTTAAAATGCATATTTTGTGAACATACTATTTAAGGCTGGTTATTCCTTTTGTACATAGCCATTTGATGTCTTGTTAATAAAATATATTTCATGCATTTGTTTTGAAAATCAAATTAACTCATTATAAAGAAATAGTTGCTATTTTTACATACCACTATCAGAAAATGAACAGGTGTATTTTTAATAGAAAATTAAAGTTTGTTTGCTAAATAAACACATTATTTGTTTCTAAATTATTAACTTACATAGGTAGATAAAATTAATAACTTTTCAGAAATCCAACAATAGTAGAGGATATTGTTATTCAAATAAAACTGGCAATAATTTTAAATTACTAAATTTCATAATGTTATGCAGAACACTATAACACTGATTTTGGAATCTTATAAATTTAAATACAATTTAGTATTGTACTGCAGTTAAATATTAAATCATTTAAAAAACTGAACAACGAACATCTGTTTTACATTAATGTCAATTTGACAGAATATCTTAAACAAGTACATTGATGATGATGATGATGATGAAAAAGTCCATAGTTACTAAATGAAATTTAATACTGATTTTTTCTCAAAAAAGTAATTTTGGTTTTTAAATAGTTTGAGTTAATTGTACAAAGAAATTGATGGTACAGCTAAGAATGATAAGGACGGCCCTGTACAAATAAAGCACTATCACAGATATATTTGTAATATAAGAAACATTCTTTATCATATTTATCACAATTGTTTGTTGAAAATTTAAAAACTAGTTTGCATCTTATTTTTATGTAAATGTGATATTTTCACAATTTGAAATATTCAATTTTAAATTCCAAGTGAAAAAAAATTTTAATGGCACTTTATATAAAAAATAATGAAATTCATTTGCATAATTTATAAATACAATAATCATGATTTAGAATGACGACATGCTTTTGTAATATGAATGTCAGTATTGCAGTCCAGAAATGGCAACGAAGCTACAAATGCCTCTTGGTTGATACTCAGCAAGGCCACTTGCTTATTTGAAGAAGAACTATGGGAAACTGAAGCATCGAGTGAATCACAGCTTGGACATTCAGAAATATTGGAAGAAATGTCCGAGGCACTACAAAAAAATGAAAAAAATTTATATTTACTGACTAAAAGCTATATGAGTAAAATAGAAACTAGAAAATAAAATATAATCTGAAATTGTTTTAAAAATATATATAAGTTACTGAAAAACAAGAATTGAAATTACCAAGAGTCAACAAAAAATGCACTTTCTTCTAATTTACCCGGTGGACAACATGAATTACCAGATACTATACTTTCAATTTCTTTCATCGATAAATGACTTTGAAGAAAAAGATGCAGTGCTTTGTTTGACAAATACAGTGGTTCATTCAAAATTCTAAAAACAAAAAAAAAAATATAATAAAATTATCACTTTTATAGGAATTTTGTGACATTAACTTCCTTATCAGTTTAAACAAATCTTTTTAAAAGCAATCATTAAAAAATTTTAATTATTTTTATTTGAAAAACAACTAAGTCAATAAATAATATTTTAAAAAATAGCAGTATATAAACATTTTAAAGAAACCATTATTTTAAATCAATTTTGTTCTTAGTTACTAGCTTTCATAAATTATTAAGTCAGCCAATAACAAACTACTTGTGTAATATATTCATATTCTTTAAATTTACTGTTATAATTATATATATAAAAAGAATAATGAATGTATAGAGCACGGGTGGCAAACCTATGGCATGTAAGGAGAAACCATCTGGTACCTGTACATAAATAAAAATCATATTTATTACATCATCTCTTTCAATCTTTTTGTTTATTGCCTGATCATCCTTTTTCAGCCAGATTTTTTATTTTCATTCTAATTAAAACTTTTTAAAAATTTCTTTAAATACAGTTATTTGAAGTCTAAAACTTTGGCATGCATAAGCATCTTTAGTGCTAGGCATGCTTACTATATGACATGGGCTCTAGACCAGGAATGGCAAATATCTGAGTCTAATTTGTTTATTTTACTTTCCATAAGAAGTAAATCTATGGAAATTAATAGTAAGTATATTTGAAAAGTATATGAAGGGTTTAGTGGAAAAGTGGCATAAGTGAAATATCACTAATATATTTGAATTTTATTATTTTAATAAAATATTAGTATATTTTATTTGGTTAAAAAAAATCATTGACTTGCCTTCTACTAACAGTATCATTTTATTTTTAAATTAATAACTTTCTTTAATAAAAAAAAAATATATATATATATATGCTTAGATAATTCTTATTAATACTAAACAATATTTTATAATAAGTGTGATATTTACTTTAACATAAATAATTCTAATAGTTGTCGTCTTTGTTCTATAAATTCTTCTGTGAACTGATCACGAAAGAAAGAATCTGAAGGCAAAGATGGTGGGTTCCTGTAATAATACAATGTTCATTAATGTCAATGTAAAAATATTATCTTTTCAGTTTTACATAAACAGTCAAATTTAAAAATTAACTTTACATAAAATGAATTTTACAAGTGTATTTCCATTAGAATCCTTTCTTACATTAATTTNAGCTTTATCGTACACATGTATGGCATAATATACAATCTTGCAACATCATATTTCTACAGAATAAAAAATAGATATCCCAAGAGACTGAATAACTTCTACAGGTATTTCTTACATGCAGAGGGTTAAACAACAGATATTTTCCTGGGAGTGCAGAAAATATGTTCTCCTCAATATAACAGATTCTCGGAATAACATGATTTTCAGTGGCTCGAGTGATCCGTTAAAACAAAATTCTACTGTACCTATTTTTAAAAAAATATTTATTGGTTTGTAACCAAGTCACATGATTATGTTAGGGATTACAAAGAGATATTGATAATAAACAAATATTATCAACTAAATCCCTTTATTGCCTCTTAAGAATGTTATTACCGATAAGATTAATGAGATATCATTGTTTATAACTTTTTAAAATTTTTATAATTGATATTATTTTAAAAAAGGATGTTACCTGTAAAATAATTTGGTAAGTTGTACAACGTCTCTTATCACCTGAATAATGGATTACTGGATCTGTTACACTAACAGTGGTTGAAATCTACGAGGACAGAAAAAGAATCTTATTACTATACTTTGATTAATATCATCAAACTTAATAATGCTTTATCATCATATCATTATGCAGAAAAGTTGAACATTCAAGTTATTAATTATAAAAAAGTACATTGTGAAAATGTAACTTGAAATAAATAAGATTATATGTTAGTATGAGTTAGTTTTTATCTAATGAAGAACTTTAATGAAGTCCAGCTTTCAGAGAAACTATCATATAAAATTAAAGGTCTTGCAGTACAAATAAATTATATATCTCAAATTATATTTAATTGTTATTTAACAAACTCTACTTTTTGTGTATCTCCTACTTATGTGAGATATTCAATTATGTTGCATTAATATATTAAAATCATGCATTTAATAAATGGACATGCTTTATTAATATAACATGAAACTAAAATGTTTGTTTCCTTGTTCTGCTATTATTCCACTTACTATGACTCAACTCACTGGTCAGGATAATTTTATGCCTTAATGACAAAGAATTAGTTCAGAACATAAATTGTCAACACGAATATAATTATGTCAATTGACACAGAAAATTGAGTACTTAGTCATTTTAAATGTTTTTAGTGTAATTCTAACTTTTTGATAATTTTTAATTTATAAAAAACAAATCTTGAACAAGCATATTAAATATATAAAATATTAATGCCTTACCAATTCAAATAAATTAATAATAATATTAAATAAATACTCTTAAACTACATTTACTTATCAGTGTCACATGTCTGTCACATGATTTTCCACAGATGTTTCAAATATTAGGTTGTATTATAATTGTCAATTGTTTTTGAGGTTTTGTGTATATATTACACAAATAATAAATTTTGTAAAAAAAAAATTACAGAATTTTAAACATATACATAAATATCTCAAATCAATTATCTGACAAACTTAATACAAAACTAATATCATACCAGTACAATTTACTTTATGTAAAATAATGAATATATAAGTAATTCTATACTTTAGAATTTACATAGAGGAAAAATAGAATTTAGATAGAGGAAAAATAGGAAATGATTAAACTTTCATTTTACAAGGAAAAATAGTTAACTTTAACTGATTGATATTTCCCCTTTCTTTTTTTACTTTCTTCGTAACTCCTATATATTATAAAATAAATTCATTCAATCTTGTACAGAAAATCAAACTCATGAAAAAGTAATTTGAAAAGTTTATTTTATGCAATAGTTTTAGTAATTGTTAAAATAGTAATCATAATAATACAGTGCTATTCCTAAGAAAAAAATATTAGGGAGGGTCAACTTGAAATTGTAGAAAACTATCACTGAAAATTTCCTTATAAATGTCAGTTAATGACAACACAACACTCATACTATAACTAAAACTAATCCTTTATCTGATTATCTTAAATAAAAATATTTTTATTAACTGGTCAGAGGAAATGTTTAATTTTAATTGGATAATCAACCAGCTAAAACCAGATTGGAGAGAACATTGATAATATATCATAAACGTCAGAATATCAAACCAAAATACTGGCATTTACTTCAGCAAGATTATCATCAAACAATAGCTAAAAGATCAAAAATTATAAATTTTGTTTACATTAGATTGCTATCAATTTGTATTCATTCAACTAATTCTAACACTGATTTGTTATCAGCCAATTTGAAGTCAGATCTAGATTTTATTAACCATATATTGAACATATGATGAAATCTTGTATTATGAATCAGAATATTAAAAATCAGAATAATTATACCCCAAAGACTAAATATAGTTAAATAATACAATTTAGTTAAAATTACATAAATGATATTTCAGAATATTCAGAACTCTAATTGAAGCAATTTAAGTTTATTGTTTATTATTTAGTTTAAAAACTTATATTTTATGTCATTTATCTCCCACACAATTATGGCTTAAAAACAATACAGGAGAATCTCATTTTAATATATCATGGAACAGATTTTTTCCAGGTCCTTCCAAATCAATATAATTTTTCCTCCTTTTAGCAGATCCATAATTCAGAATAACATTTTTTCTTCTAAACCAATCTATTGTAAAAACTTTACTAACTAAACATTGAAAAAAAAAAATGCATTCAGGTGTTTTTATAGAGTTCGATGACGAACTCTATAAAAACTTCATAGAAGTTTATAGAGTTTGATGATAAACTTGTTAGCCTACATCTGGAATATGTACTGTACAATTAAAGAATTGTACAAAGAATCAATGAGTTGATACGATTAAAGAAGAGTCACCTAGACTTGATGGCATCATTAAATTTTGACACTACACTTAGATGCTAGTCCTAGTGTAGTGCCAAAATTTAGTGAGGCCAAGTCTTTCCACATTGTGAAGTCCTTCCTGAGAAGTATCAGCATAAATGAACAGGTATATATTACATTACTAATATCAAGCAGTTGTTAAATTCAATAGGCAGAAAAGTGGCACAAAAACAAACCAAGATGGACAAGTTTAACAAATCATGAAGTCAAGTGAAGTGCTAATGAGCATACATAATTTGCCTCTTTGTGCTTAGAGTACTGTACATACACTTTACATCAGCTTTATCGTACACATGTATGGCATAATATACAATCTTGCAACATCATATTTCTACAGAATAAAAAATAGATATCCCAAGAGACTGAATAACTTCTACAGGTATTTCTTACATGCAGAGGGTTAAACAACAGATATTTTCCTGGGAGTGCAGAAAATATGTTCTCCTCAATATAACAGATTCTCGGAATAACATGATTTTCAGTGGCTCGAGTGATCCGTTAAAACAAAATTCTACTGTACCTATTTTTTAAAAAATATTTATTGGTTTGTAACCAAGTCACATGATTATGTTAGGGATTACAAAGAGATATTGATAATAAACAAATATTATCAACTAAATCCCTTTATTGCCTCTTAAGAATGTTATTACCGATAAGATTAATGAGATATCATTGTTTATAACTTTTTAAAATTTTTATAATTGATATTATTTTAAAAAAGGATGTTACCTGTAAAATAATTTGGTAAGTTGTACAACGTCTCTTATCACCTGAATAATGGATTACTGGATCTGTTACACTAACAGTGGTTGAAATCTACGAGGACAGAAAAAGAATCTTATTACTATACTTTGATTAATATCATCAAACTTAATAATGCTTTATCATCATATCATTATGCAGAAAAGTTGAACATTCAAGTTATTAATTATAAAAAAGTACATTGTGAAAATGTAACTTGAAATAAATAAGATTATATGTTAGTATGAGTTAGTTTTTATCTAATGAAGAACTTTAATGAAGTCCAGCTTTCAGAGAAACTATCATATAAAATTAAAGGTCTTGCAGTACAAATAAATTATATATCTCAAATTATATTTAATTGTTATTTAACAAACTCTACTTTTTGTGTATCTCCTACTTATGTGAGATATTCAATTATGTTGCATTAATATATTAAAATCATGCATTTAATAAATGGACATGCTTTATTAATATAACATGAAACTAAAATGTTTGTTTCCTTGTTCTGCTATTATTCCACTTACTATGACTCAACTCACTGGTCAGGATAATTTTATGCCTTAATGACAAAGAATTAGTTCAGAACATAAATTGTCAACACGAATATAATTATGTCAATTGACACAGAAAATTGAGTACTTAGTCATTTTAATGTTTTTAGTGTAATTCTAACTTTTTGATAATTTTTAATTTATAAAAAACAAATCTTGAACAAGCATATTAAATATATAAAATATTAATGCCTTACCAATTCAAATAAATTAATAATAATATTAAATAAATACTCTTAAACTACATTTACTTATCAGTGTCACATGTCTGTCACATGATTTTCCACAGATGTTTCAAATATTAGGTTGTATTATAATTGTCAATTGTTTTTGAGGTTTTGTGTATATATTACACAAATAATAAATTTTGTAAAAAAAAAATTACAGAATTTTAAACATATACATAAATATCTCAAATCAATTATCTGACAAACTTAATACAAAACTAATATCATACCAGTACAATTTACTTTATGTAAAATAATGAATATATAAGTAATTCTATACTTTAGAATTTACATAGAGGAAAAATAGAATTTAGATAGAGGAAAAATAGGAAATGATTAAACTTTCATTTTACAAGGAAAAATAGTTAACTTTAACTGATTGATATTTCCCCTTTCTTTTTTAATTTTACACCCACATAAAATCAAATCATCACAGTAATGAGCATTCATAGACTATAATATAAAATAGTGTAATTTTAAAATAATTGTAATTCATCATAAAGTTAGAGTTAAATTCCCCCGAATAAAGGCCACGTAAATGAGACTATTATACGACCTTGAATTTAGAAAAATTCTTTTATTAAATCTGAAGGACAGTTATTTACGTGAACTGTTGAAACCTTTTAATGTCCCTTTAAACTAAGGTTGAGTGATCATTCATAAAATTTAGTTTGTCAGTATATTTATAATGTAGGAAATATGTATGGAATCGATCGATTCGATACATATTTCGATCGTCTATAAAATATAAAAATATGCGCATACATCATTATGAATAGGAAACAGCTACAGTATTTGAGTAACAAAAGATTTAGTACAACAGATTCTTATTATCCATTCAAATATTTTATTTTATGCATAGAAATGAAAAAAAAACAATTAAAAATTTCTGATGTATGTCTAGGTTATTGTTCTATTTCCTCATATATATTGTTTTATATAGAAAAGTATCTTTTCTTTCTATTGGGTCTACAACCTTCTATATACCTTACTGTAGGACAGGAATCGCTTCCTCTTAAACACAATATATTCATACGCTTTCTTTTATACATTTACAATGATGAGCGCCATTGCATGATGCAATGCCAATGTCTCTCGTCGTCATAACTAAATTTAACGCGAAATATGTCAAAGGAACTTTTAAAAATAATACTTAGCGACAATTAAGAAGTAGCACACGTGTTTTAAAATTAATAAAACGTATAAAAAAATATTTAAATTACCCGAGGTAAATCTGGATCGTCGTCTTCACAAGTGCATATAATCATCTCCAGCTGTGTAGAGGCAACGTCTTGTTGATTATAAATCACGCTACTAATTGATCCGAATTGCTACGACTCCAATTTATACGAACACAAGCTAGAGACGATATCTACAGAATAACAGAAGATATAGGTGTGATGTCACACAAAGCACGAGGTTGATAGGAGCGCTCTCGTGACAGTTAACCAATCAAGAACTCTGATCTGTGTTCTGTTACGATTGCGCCATTTCCGGGTAATTGGAAAATACAGAAGTTTATTATCGTTTAAAAATATTAATTTTATTAGAATTTATTATCGATTATAATAAACTAAATAATTATTTTTTTGCTGTTATAAATATTATTATAAACTCCAATATAATTAAAATACGGATGAACAATTCGATTGTATTTAAATTATAATGGTTGATTATCAGTTATTGTATATACTGTATTGACATCCTTTGCAGAAATATGTAATTAAATTGAAGATAAAAAATTTCTTTGACAGATAAATGTATTGTTTTTTTTTAATAAAACAAATAATTTTCAAGATTAGAGTTCAGTGGACATTTCTTATCGACGTAAAAATGCTTGTGGTACAGGTTTTATTCATATAAACAGGTGTTTAAAATCATTTTATGATAAAAATAAATATCAAAATTCTTGGAATCGATTCATTATAATATACTGTATATAAAAATAATGAATTTTAGAAATAAACTTGTTGAATATAATATTTAGGCTTTGTCCAGGAGCTAAAGCGGGGATTCACACCTTAAATTGTATTTTTGCATTAGTTTGAAAAGACCGCGATATTATAGATAAAATATATTCATATGGAAATAGATAAATATTGGGCGCAAACCAAACAATAAGAAATTATTTTTCAATCGTGTACAGTACATTATTTAAATTTTGGGCCGGATGGGCGAGAGGTCAAGATGGCAGCCTACCGCTCTGGGGGATCCGGAATCCAATCCGGACGGTTCGAAAAATCCCCAGAAATTTTTCGGAGGTTAATGGGTATGAAAAGACGCGTCTAAAAACACTCATTCACTTTTGATTCAATTAAATAGGTATATGGATTTTAAGGATATTTTTATAAAGCTTCCATATTTTATATTTGATAAGATTATCCGAAGGGTAAAAACATTTTAATTTAATCGTGGTTAATTGAATTGCGTCGATTGCTATTTATAGTTAGTTGCAATAAAATATATTAAAATTATAAGAAAAAGCGATTAAAAAATTATTTTTGATTTATGTCATACTTTATAAATTATCAATAAATTTCCTAAAATGAAACTGATATCTGACATGCATGATTCAAAATTATTTATAAAATAATCATTAACAGAAGTAACCAATGTGTGTGTGTGTGTGTGTGGTTTTTTTTATTTTTTTCTGCCCTGTGGACACTAAGAAAGCTCTTTTTTAGCCAGCCCATTAGTTTATGGGTTCGGCCAGGCCAAAACGGGAGGTCGGGTGGTGAAGGGTGGGGCCCGACATATTCAGACGGTTTACCCCCGAAAAAATCCATGGTATTGTGATTCACCGAATTCGAACTCCCAGACCAGTAGGCTACTACCTTGACCGCTATGCCATCGGGCTATCAATTGATGAATTAAAAAGTTAATGTACAGTACATTTAAGAGTTCAATATTCCAATTATGGTAAGTAAAAGTAAATGGTGTACTTTAAGATTTGGTTACTTAAAAACTAAAAACAATAAATCTTTTATCAAATGATAAAAAAAGTTAGTTTTATTTTCATGTTTAATAGCGTAAAAATATTAATTATTGATAGTTTGTGCTGCTCGATTAATCAATAATAATAAAATACATATCATTTGTGCATAACAGAAATTGTAGCGTAAAATTTCTAGTAAAACTATTTGTGCATGCCATACAGTTTAATAATTGATTTTGCTAAAAAAATTAACAAGATTTATAAAGCATGTCATTAATTAAACTTTGTACCACAATTTAATCAATACTGTATTGTATTTTTTTGAGGAAATAAAATTGATTACACTTGAAAGAAAAATAGCAATGTAGGAAAAACCAGGAAATGAGTCTGTAGAGATTAAAATAGTATCACTTTCATTTTTAGATAGAATCAGTTTTATGTTATGGATTGAATTTTGTTTTAAATTATATTAAGAGGATATTTACCATAATTTGATTTTTAAAATATAGAACATAATCAATATTTGAAGTGTTAAATACAGTATTACTTTGTGATATAACTTCTGTGTATACTTTATATAAAGGTACTAGAATTTTATACATATTATAAAAAGTTATATAATCGAAACTTATAATTAAAGTGATTAATTCTGATCTTATAATGATGTTTAAGTTTATAATTAATTGACTTAAAGAACCAATAAATTAATTTGAGTTATATAAAAACAGTTTACTATTGTTTATATATATATATTATTTTGATATAGGCCTATTAATAAACACTCTGGAGTTATTTATTCTTTAAAATCTATACTAGAAACATAGCTAATAATTTATATAAAATAAGTATTAATAAATGTGATAAATACATTATGGATTAAATGTATTGATAAGAAACTTTTTCATTCTAAAATTAGATTCTGTAGTTTACAGTTTAATTTGAAATATCGTTTGGAAAATTTATATATACAGTTATATAGTTAGTAAGATAAGATAAAATGGATGTTTTTTTATTTTTTATTGTGAATTTTATCATAAAAAATGTTCTATTAAAAATCTTATTTCTTTTGAATTTAAAAATATTGATGAATTTATCTTTCAAAGGTGTATTTTTGTATTATAAAATAAAAAATCTTGTTATTATTGTTATATAAATATATTTTTATATTGTAAACATGTTTACCTTTGTCTTTGATGTGTTTAGAATTTAAGAATAGATGATGTAGATGTATCTTACATAATATATTATTTTAAAGTTATCAAATAATTGACTCTTTTTAAACATGCCAAAAGTCTAAATTTACCTATTAATAAAAGAAAACTTTCTTTCAGATTGAACTTTTCAAATTTACACTTAGGTTCAGTTGAAGTTTAGAGAATTCAAATTTAAATTGCACTTAATAACACCAATGCAACCTATAACACTTAATTCATTCAAATTATTGAAGTTTCATTTTTTTGAAAAACTCAAAGTATAGTATATAATAACAACACACAATAATATAATTTATAAAATGCAGAAATTTTATAAATTGCTTGTAATTTTTTAATCAACAAATAAACCTTGTAAATAATATGCTGTACTTTTTTCAGTTTAAAGACAAATCTTATGAATACTCAACTGAATTCGTTCAATGTTGTTATCCAAAAACTTTTTTTAATCCAGCAATTATTTTTAAATGTAAAATGTATGTTTGCTACTTTTATCAGCCATCACTATGCTCATGACAGATCCATTTGAAAAGGTAGATTAAACACTGATAAAATTGGTTTTTATGTTGTTTGTTTTGGATTACAAAAATAAAAGCTATTTACACATAAATTATTTTAAAAACTAACTCTAAAGTAATACAAAATAATTTCGAGACAGATGATAGAACTATTGATAGTTTAAAATTGAATAACCAATAATACAAAACCATGTTAAGAAAGAAGAAAAAGAGATTAAGTTATGATCTTATTGATTATAATGCATGGGAGTTGAATTTATAAGGATAGTTAAAATTTCCCATGTTTCCGTGATCATGTGGAGAATTAGACTAACTTTAATTTTTGTTTCATCTACAATATATGCCAAACAAAGTATCTTGATTAAAACATAAAAACCTCACATCAACATAAATAATTTACCAAATAAATGTTTCTACTATTTTCTTTCCTTTAAATTCAACATTTGCGTCATTTGCAACATGTCAATATGCTTCTTCAATGGAATTATTTCATATTCATCTTTTATAGTGTTAATTTCGCGTAGAAATTCTATTTTATCCACACTTGATTCCTTTAAATTTGTATATTCACATAGCATATATTTTATCAAAATGAATTATCATGAAATTACAAAATCCATAAAGCAGCATTAATTAATTGTCATTTATTAATAATTTGAATTGTTTTATTTAAATATATACTTTTTAAATTTGAATATAAAAAGAGATGCACATAAGTCATAATTAACGCGAGAACACTGCAACAGAAATAAAAATAATATATGATTTTTCTGTTCACGAATACCCCGTGGCGAATTTAGAAATATGGCGACCGCAATATGCAGCCGCCTCTCAAAATAATAGTGCCACTTTTGCACCGAATTATTCTATTTTGTAATTTTAATTCTAAAATAATATATTTTTTAAAGATTTTTAAATGTCGAAAGGGGCAAAGGGCACTGCTATTGAAAAATCTTTTATTTGCAAAATACATTCATATTTTAATATTATTCATATATTTCAATTTTGTTCCTGTTTAAGCTTTTAATTTGCACTAATCCTTTATGAATTGTTCCTACATATGTTTTGTTATTTTATTGTTATTATTATTATATTGAATTTTTGCACCTCCCAAACACTTGGGCTTTTAAGTCTGGACCAAGTGGATCTAATGGAAAATCCTCCAATGCCAATACTTAGAATGAATGACAGCTCCGACGAAACAGGGTATCCAAACTGGAGAATGCCAGTCTCTTACTATATAGATCTACTGTGGTTTTTTTCATCTGTATTGTAAGCGAGCCAAGCTAACTCTATAATAGTGACTGTCAGAACCGAGGGAGTTAGTTGTCCCCACTTACCGGCGGCTCTGTCAGAAGATGGCTTTATAGGAGGGCAAAATAAAATGAGTGAGGAGGTTAATGAGTAAGTTGACAGGTTCCCAAATAAATACACAGGTTGAACAAGAATAACACATTTAATAAACAACTATAAAATTGTACATATCAAGGCGAAGGTGAAGAGCTACAAAAATTCTATTCTACGTCGCGACAATGATTCGCCTTTCATATGGAACATCTAATCTCTATTCTCTAAGTTAAATTAAGAGACGAGAGAGAGACCTCTCGGAGAGAGACTTCGCAGAGAGAGAGTATACAAATAGATATCCAAAAAAATACCTCTAAGTTCCCGATCCGTAATATGGGTCGTTGGTAAAAATGTTCCTGGATCGTCACGGCAGTTATGGCGAGGTAGCGACGGATAG